TGTTACTAGGGAAAGAGTTCTCCAGCAAGCTCTAGCCTTGGAAATATTGACAATTACGAGGCGAACCCATACACCTTCTCAAGTTGATCATTCTAACCTTGTTCATATCATGAGAATCACAGAAACTCGAACGAGTACTGCGCAATATTAAAAGATAAAGTTGAAGATCTTATTAAACAGGGACAGCTAAAGGGTTTTGTGAGCCAATACAAGAGGGGGGCAAACAAAGATCATGAAAGTTGTGGAAGAGAATAAACCTCCCAAAGATAGGAAGGAAATGAAGGTTGAAAGAAAACAAAACGAAAGCATAGTCGATCTCGAGAAAGAAAAGTTAATGTTAATGCAGTAAAACTTTTTATTTTTTTTATTTTTTACTGCTATAATTAATTATGGTTGCTTGTATTAGTGGATAAAGTTTTGCAGTAATTATGTTTACTTAGTCCAATAGATAATATCTTGTTAGGTATCTGATTTTAGGCTAATCTACACACTTAATGATAGTGGGAACATGTGTTTTCCTGACAGCATTTATGGGCTCTATGTATGACTGTCATTTTTCATGTATTTGCCTTATATATGAATGAAAAACAAGCAGAATGGTGTGGTTGTCCAGCAAATACGAAATTGTTCTATTTTCTAACCTTTCCTCTTCTCTGTTTTATGGTTTTGTATGATTTTTATGTTTTATGCTTCCGCTGCCCATTGCATGTCTTAACAGTGGTATCAAGAGCATTGTTCTTATAGGTTGTGGGTCTGAAAAAATTGAGAGGAGAGATTAAACACTTGTGAGTGAGTGATAAAATGGCTTCGGGGAATAATGGTGTATTTGCTGTTCCTCAATTTTCTAGGGAAAACTATCACATATGGATTGTCAAAATGAGATCATGTTTGAAGTCTTTTGACTTATGGGAGTATGTAGATCAAGATAAGGAAGTTCCACCATTGAGGGCTAATCCTACCATAGCTCAAATGAAGCAACATGAGGAGGAGACTTTGAAGAAGGAAAAAGTTGTCTCATGTTTACATTCAGCTTTGTCAGATGATGTTTTTACAAGCATTATGCATCTAGAAATAGCAAAACAAATATGGGATGAGCTGAACGAGCGATATATCAGTGATGAACGGGTGAGATCCACCAAACTATTGACTCTTAAAAGAGAGTTTGAAATGTTGAAAATGAAGGAAAGTGAATCAGTCAAGGAGTATACTTCAAAACTGTCTCACTTGGTGAACCAAATGAGATTGTATGGTGAGGTTGTCCATGACCACAAGGTAGTCGAAAAAATGCTGATCAGTCTACCCGTAAAATTTGAAGCTAAAGTTGCTGCCATTGAAGAGTCATGTGATCTTAAGAAACTAACCATTTCCGAAATGGTCAGTAAATTGCAAGCTCATGAGCAAAGACTTTCCATGAGAATGGATGATGTAACTGAAGGTGCATTTCAAGCAAGACACAAGGGAAAGCAAGCTGGTCAAAAAAATCAAAAGAAGCATAATTATAAAACAGCTGGTGACCAAAAGGGTAAAACCAAGATGGATGGGAGTAGTGAATCTGCAGCAAACAATCATTTTCCTCCTTGTTCTACATGTAAAAGATCAAATCACTTGTCGAAAGATTGTTGGTATAAGGGGAAGCGTCAAATCCAATGTAACATTTGCAAGAAGTGGGGACATAGAGAGAGGTACTGCAGATCCAAGCAGAACCTCAACCATAACATGCACATCAAGTTAACTTCACTGATCAGCAATTCCAAGATGAAGAACACTTGTTTATGGCTACTCAAACAAGTAGTTCAGGTTGAAATGATGTATGGTATGTTGATAGTGGGTGCATAAACCACATGGCGAGGGACTCAAGTCTCTTTACTTCTTTGGATAGGGCTGTCCAAACCAAAGTTAATCTTGGAAATGGAGATATTGTACAAGCTGAAGGAAGAGGTACTATTTTTGTTCACACCAGAAAATGTCTTAAATTTATTCATGATGTTTTATTTATTCCTGATTTGGATCAGAATTTGCTAAGTGTTGCTCAACTAATGAAGAGAGGATATTCTCTTTCATTTAAAAACAATGGCTGTATCATATTGGATTCAAATGATTATGAAGTTATTAAGGTTGAAATGTGTGATAATAGCTTTCCAATTAGTTTGAATCAAGTGAATGAATCAGCTCTTGTTTCCAAACATGATGATTCTGTTTTATGGCACAAAAGATATGGTCATTTTAATATGGGTGCATTGAAATTTTTGCAAACTCATGATATGGTGAAAGACATGCCTATGATGGGTATTATTGATGATTTATGTGATGCTTGTCAATTGTGAAAAATGCATAGAAAGTCTTTTTCATCAACAAATGTCACACGAGCAAAGGAAAAATTGGAGCTTATTCACACTGATTTGTGTGGTCCAATGAGTGTTCCTTCTCTTAGCCAAAGCAAATATTTTCTTTTGTTTATTGATGATTTGACAAGCATGACATAGGTGTATTTTTTATCAAGCAAAACTCAAACTTTTGATGTCTTGAAAAAGTTTAGAGCCATGGTGGAGTCTCAAAGTGGCTACAAAATTAAAATGTTGAGATCTGATAATGGGAAGGAGTATACACCTAATGAGTTTAATGCATTTTGTGAAGATATGGGCATTGTTCATCAATTGACAATAAGTTATACTCCTGAACAAAATGGAGTTTCTGAGAGAAAAAATAAAACAGTTATGGAGATGGTAAGATGTTTAATTGCTGAAAAGAAATTGCCTAAATGTTTTTGGGCTGAAGCTGTTTATATAGCCGTGTATCTTTTGAATAGGCTACCAACAAGAGCTGTTCAAGAGAAAACACCAATTGAAGCTTGGAATGGAGTGAAGCCTACTGCCAAACACCTGAATATTTTTGGATCTATTTGTTATACTCATGTTGCAGCAGCAAAAAGATCCAAATTAGATGACAAAGCTGAAATAGGGATTTTCTTAGGCTATGCTGCAAAATTCAAAGGTTACCGGGTGTACAATATGAGGTCAAAACAATTTGTGATCAGTAGGGATATTCAAATTGATGAGAACGCATACTGGAATTGGGAAAATAATGAAGTTCAAAGGAGCACAAAAACAGAACAATTGAAAACCAATTTCGACCAGGAGCAAGTTGCAAATGAGAATAAAAATCAGATTGCTAAATCTGATTCTCCTGTGCTAAAATCCAAGTCTTTGGCTGAAATTTATGAAAACTGCAATTTTGTTGTAAGTGAGCCTTCTTGTTTTGAAGAGGCTTCAATGCATGAAGAATGGAAAGATGCAATGAAGGAGGAGCTGGCCATGATTAACAAAAATGGCACTTGGGAACTTACTTCAAAGCCCAAGGACAAACATGTGATTGGCGTCAAATGGGTTTATAGAACAAAATTAAATCCGGATGGTTCCATCCACAAGCACAAAGCAAGGCTTGTTGTGAAGGGGTATTCTCAAATGGAGGGTATTCTCAAATGGCTAGAATTGATTATGGTGATACATTTGCGCTAGTTGCTAGGCATGAAACAATTAGACGAATTGTTGCATTAGTGGCTCAATATGGATGGAAAGTCTTTCACTTGGATGTTAAATCTGCTTTTTTAAATGGAGTATTGCAAGAAGAAATATATGTTGAACAACCTGATGGTTTTATTGTTATAGGTCATGAAGAAAAAGTTTATAGGCTTCATAAAGCCTTGTAAGGGCTGAAACAGGCTCCAAGAGCTTGGTACAGCAGAATTGATTCTCATTTTTTGCAGAATGATTTCAGGAGGAGCCAAAATAAGCCTACTCTTTATGTGAAAGATTGTGGCAATGGAAAGAAAATTGTGGTTTCACTTTATGTTGATGATTTGTTGATTACAGGTGATGATGTTGATGAAATTGAAGAGTTTAAAAATAGCATGTTACAGGTTTTTGAAATGATAGATCTTGGAGTGATGAGGTATTTTTGGGGATGGAAGTGCATCAGTTTGATGATGGAATTTTTCTCTCACAGCAAAAGTATGCAAATGACTTGCTGAAAAAATTCAAATTAGAGAATTGTAATCCTGTTTTGACTCCACTTGCTGTCAATGAAAAACTCTCCAAGGATGATGGTGATGCAAAGGTAGATGTGACTCAATATAGAAGTTTGGTTGGTAGTCTTCTTTGTTTGACTACAACCATACCAGATTTGATGTTCTACAGTAGTTTACTTTCAAGGTTCATGCATTCACCAAGTTTAACACACTTTGGTGTAGGCAAAAGAGTGTGGAGATACTTGAAAGGTACTGCTAATTTTGGCATTTGGTATAACAAAAGTGATGGAAAGGTTGAAGGTTTTGTTGATAGTGATTAGGCTGGATCTATTAATGACTCTAAGAGCAGAACATGATATGTTTTTTCACTTGGTAATGTAGTATTTTCATGGAACTCTAAGAAGCAAGATGTGGTTGCTCAATCCTCTGCCGAGGCTGAATGTAGCTGCATCAAATCAAGCTATATAGGTCAGGAAAGTCTTGATAGATTTGAGTAATGTGCAAATAGAACCTACTGTGCTATGGTGTGATAACAAGTCAGCCATTTCAATCGCTAAAAATCCAATTCAACATGGGAGAACCAAGCATATCAATGTCAAATTTCATGCTATAAGGGAAGTTGAGAAGAATGGATATGTTCAGTTGATGTATTGCAGGTCTGAGGAGCAATTGACATACATACTCACTAAGGCCCTTCCAAGTGCTAAGTTTAATGAGCTAAGAAGCAAGTTGGGAGTCCTTAAGAAAAGTTTTAAGGAGGAGTGTTAATGCAATAAAAATTTTCCTTTATTTTTTACTGTTATAATTAATTATGGTTGCTTGTATTAGTGGGTAAAGTTCTGTAGTAATTATGTTTGCTTAGTCCAGTAGATAATATCTTGTTAGGTATCTGATTTTAGGAAAATCTACACAGTTAATGATGGTGGGAACATGTGTTTTACTGACATTATTTATGGGCTCTATGCATGGCTGTCATTTTTCATGTATTTGCCTTATATATGAATGAAAAATAAGAGAATGGTGTGGTTGTCCAGCAAATACGAAATTGCTCTATTCCCTAACCTTTCCTCTTCTCTGTTTTATGGTTTTGTATGGTTTTTATGTTTTATGCTTCCGCTGCCCATTGCATGTCTTACCAGTTAATTCTCTTGATAATTCACGTGATCAACCAAAAAGGGTGATTAATACCATAGCAGGACGATTTGTTGGGGGGAGGACCAACCTTTTCGACTTGTAAGCAGCTTGTTTAGGCTGTCAAATTGGTTACACATGGTCAATGTAAGAAAGACTCTGAGGATGCCATGCATCATGTTTACTGATGATTTTCAAGTAGATGTGGTGCAAGATGATTTAATGGTGATTAGTGTTGAGATAAATATTTTTATTGGAAAACATTCATACATATGGGTATTCTAGATAACAATTGATGTCGTATGATGAACCATTTGTTGGTTTTTTGGGAGAACGGGTAACTATAAGAGTATGCATTGACTGTAACATTTGTTTCGATTTTGATCAGAGCATGTACCTTATAATAAAAATACATTTTGGTTCATGCCAATGGATCTTCTTGGGAGACCCTCAATTAATGTTTTAGAGGCTATTGTCTCCGTGCCAAATTTGACGATGAAATCTCCATCAAGGAATAAAAAAAAAGGTGATAACTGTTCGTGCAAATCAAAAAATGATAAGGGAGTGTTGTTTTACAAGCCTTATAGTCAAGTCGAGAAGAAGAAGTAACTTCATCTTTCGGGGTTTGTTTTCAGGAATATCATCTCGATAAAGAAATTCACCTTGGTAAAAATCTTTACCCATATCAAACTAAAAACTTGAAGTACTTCGCAAAAGTGCAAGGCTTGTCGAACATGTTTGAAACCTTTTTGATGCTTATTGTAAATCTTGTTCTCAGCATCCTCGTTGTAAGACTCATAGTTTGCAAGTGTTGTATTCCTCTCGACAGTCATTGAGTTAAATTGATCTTGAGAAACATGAAGCTTTGCGACAAGTTTGGAATTTGTATCATTAGAGGCCTTTAATTGCTTAGTCAACTTATTAACCAAGTGTTGAAGCCTTTTTCTATTAGAATTTTTTTTCAATATGGGCATTGATTTCTTGGTTGGCAAAGACGGCAGTAGCAAGAGTAGTCTCAAATTCCTTGAGTTTTGTCATCAACTTGTTGATTTAAAAAAAAAAAAGGCTTTATAAGAAGGTTTTGGGAAATTCCAAGTGAACGATCCAACAATTCACAAAGAATTGACCATTTGGTTGATGAACTTTCTTGGGATAAAAACTCCCTACCAAGAGGTGAGAGAACACCTTGGCTAAAGAGGTCACATGTGTCACAAGAGGGAGAAAGGTAGGTATCAGCAATAACCGAGGAAGGGATGGCATGGGTTATAACATAGGAAGACATTTTTTGTTGCCCAAGTTTTTTCTCTTTCACTTCACCCTTTTTCGGCATGCTCTACACATCTGTGTTTATCATTCAAGTTCATCCTTTCACGGTCACTCTTATTCTTGTTCTTCTTGTCCGATGAAGGAGGAATGATGTCTATGAGAGTAGGTCGAGGGAGTGGAGTGGTACCTGCAACAAAAGGGTTATTTCTAATAGTGTTGGCAATGGCCACAATAGCCTTGGCAACTTGATCTCATTCCTTATACACTTGCCGGAAAGAAAGGCCTTTAACACTAGCGGAAGCCATAATCCCTATACAAAGAAGTCAACAATCAAAATATAGTAAAAAGTAAGTTTTATAAAAATCAAAGATTACCCTCATATTTCTAGTAGGCTCAGGAGATCAGTGTCAATCAA